CACCGCAGCGTCTAGGGCCGCCGGTACCGGAAGCGGGCGAATTCCATGATCTGAGGCAGCAGATCCAGGAGATGCAGAGCAAGATAAACAGGGGACGAGTATTCACTACCCGGACGAATAATCCCTTAGCCCCGGAAATCTTTGCGGAACCATACCCGCAGGGATTCAAGATGCCGTTCGTTAAGCGTTACGATGGGGAATCGGATCCCCAGGAACACATAAACAGCTATGTCCAGGTGATGATTGCTGTTGATGCCAGCGACGCATTGATGTGTTGGTGTTTTTTGCAGACAGTAGATAGCAAGGTTGCGGATTGGGTGAAACACATTCCTGCCGGATCAATCCGGACATGGGATGAATTGGGATTGCAGTTCTTAGAGCATTTTGCAGGGAACTGCCGTCCCAAGAAGCATTTCACTCACCTGGCCTCGGTGCGTCAGAAGCACGGAGAATCCTTGAAGAATTTCCTTATCCGGTGGAGAAAAGAGTCCAGGGAGGTTGAAGGAACAACCGATGACAAATCAAGGTTGGCCATGTTCAGGGCGGCATTACAAGATGGTCTCCTTTATACCAATCTTACACCTCATCCCCCGGATACCTTTGAGGAAGCAATGGTCTGGGCCGGGAGGTATGTGACCCTGGAGAAGAGAAAGGAGGAGAAGAAAGAAAAGACTCCCAAAGAAGAAGAGAAGGCGGGAAATAAGAACCCGTTCAAGAACAAGAAGCAGGGTTTCCCGAATGGCCCAAAGGACACAAGCCTTGGGACCTCGGAAAAGCACAAATCTGCCAATCCAGTCTTCACGTTGCCGGTGGCTGAGGTCATGGCTCATGCTGCACAGCAGGGACTCATGACTTATCCAACTTATTCTCAGAAGGTCTGTAATGTGGAGGACACTGGAAAATGGTGCGCTTACCATCACAAGAATGATCACAACACAGAGGATTGTTATACCCTGAAGAATGAGATGGCGAGGCTAATCCGTCGGGGCCATCTGAAGAAGTTCATACAAGATGGTGATGCGGGAAGTCCCGGGAATGCTCAGAATGGGAAGCGTAGAGATAAGGAGGTGGCCCATGTTGGAACACGGGTTTACGCCTACGTCGTACTAAACTGTGTTCGCTTTTATGACAGGTTTTGATAATGCCAAACCGCCGCGACATATCAAAGCTAAAGTGAGCAAAACTAAGGCGAAGGAACATGGAATGATGACTTGAGAACCAAGAACCCAGAACCAAGAACGAAGAACTAGAATTGTATTGAGTCGGTCTTAATGTGATCAAGACCGGCACAAAATTCCAAATCTTGCTCTCTAGGCTCAATTCATAAAAATCTCTTTTACATATTCAAAAATATTTTTCTCAAGTTTTAAACTTGCCTCAAAACACTTGGAGTTCGCCCAAGCCAAAAACCAAGCCATCCGGCGTTCGATTTTCAGAAACCGGCGCTCGGCTTTCGGTTTTCGGCATTGATTTTTGGCATCCGAACCAACCAAGTGGTTTTCAATTTTTCATGACTGGTTTTTACTTCTGGGCATATTTAAATAGTTCCCCAACAAAAACGCCTCAAAAACCACCTTCCGTTTTTGGTCGTTTAGTGAAAACCATGCAAAACAGCGCGAACTTGGCTAGCCGTGGTTTTCAACTAAATGACGTGGTTTTTAAGATGTTTTACTTGATTTCTTAGCAAAATGCAATATAAAAATGTTTTCTAAACTTGGTTTTTATTTTGGAGAACTTGCATTTTTGACATCGGCTAACGGCGTGACTAAACCAACCACGGGTCTGGCTAAACCAGCCCAACAGCGATGTTGAGATAATCAACAGCATTGTCTAGCCTGGGTAGCTGAAAACATGGTTTGGCATTAAGTCTTCCAACAGTGATGTTGGACACTAGACATCGCTGTTGAGCCAAGGTTAGATTTCTAGAAACTTCTGGAACAGCGATGTAGGCTTCCCTACAGCGCTGTCCAACCTAAGCCAAAAATATAGTCCATTGGCAGAAAGTTTTTGGACAGCGATGTTGACCCAGCAACAGCGCTGTCAGGCCAAAACTTCCATCTTCAAAGGCAGACCTAAACAGTATGTTCTAGTATGGAACATCGATGTAGAGACCTGACCGTTGGAGGAAATTTAAGGCTAAAACTTTCCTTGTTTGGAAGTCAACAGCCAAAACAGCGATGTAGGGGTTTTGGACATCGCTGTTGGCATGACCGTTGCTTCCCATTTTTCAAAACGCAAGCCTAGAACAGCGATGTCCAGGCCTTGGACAGCGCTGTCCAGGTTATTTTCAGCAGATCCAAATTTTATCAAATCCCAAAAATTGTGCCAATCACCCCTTAAATACTTTGGTCCGTTGGAGCCTATTTTTCCACTATAAAATGGGGTGTTTGGGTCTGTTTTACACATCACATTACTTCACAACTCCTACTCTTTCATTGCAAATCATTCTTTAATTATTCATAGCTTTTGAGAGCCATTTTTGTGAAGCTTGTGTTGTGTTCTTGAGCGTTCTTAGTTTACTCAATATCCA